AATCCATGGAATGGGTGAATGTAATCATGGTACACAGTGTGCACATATGTCTCTATCAAAATAACCCCCTTTGAACAACTAATTGGCACTAGTAAGAAAAACAGGGGGAAAATAAATTAAATCAAGGGGAAAAAATAAAAAAGAATTTATCAAAACCAAACATTGCATCCAGTACAAGGATTTTCTTCACAATCCTTAGGAGATGTATTTTCCAAACCATTTCAGGCAATCTTCCCTAGGGGGTTCCCTCTAACCTTTATTCCCCCAAAGTCCAGTCGTCCATAGGTTTAGTAAACAGCATGTGTTGTCACGTTGAGTCACACATTTTTAAGTTTGTGACTTGCAGAAACCTAAGCACTCCATCATTTTCAAGTATCTGAAGGTTATCCACAAGGACCACAATTAAGTTTTTGTCTTATGTTCCTGTCTTTCCAATAAGCCACACTTAAGCTCTTTCAAAACTCCCCTAGTATTGAGGACATTGGGAAAATTCTAGGTCCACTTTTGCCTTCTTCAGGTGTCTAAAGAATTAGAGTGATACAAGAAGTTTCCCAAAGGGAAGCTTATTTTATTTTACCGGTCGTGGGGCTCGAACTCCGGGCCTTGGCACTACCCCTAATCTTCTTTTGCTCAAGGCGAGCGCTCTACCACTTTAGTTACAGCGCCACTTCCAGTTTTATTGAGTAGTTTATTGGTGATAAAGAGGCCCAGGGACTTTTCTGCCCCGGCTGGCTTCGAACCGCGATCCTGAGTAGCTAGGATTACAGGCGTGAGCTACGGCACCCGGCTTCCGAAGGGAAATTTAAAGTTGTGAGAATAATCCAGAAGCCACCAAGGTGAAGACGGCCAACCGTGGTACTATTAAAGGGCTCAACTCCACATCCCATTTCATTGTTTTTACCACACCTCCCAACACTCGCACAGGCGAGTAAGGCTTGCAACCAGTCTCACGCCCCTCCCGTTAACTTCCTGCGCATGCGCGAAGTGTACGCGCCTATCCCCGCCCCCCACCGGTCCCAGTATCTCTACGTGCCCTTATAGTCAAAGCTGCCGACCTCGCTACAGCCCCCGCGCGGGCACTAACCGGTATTCGAACTCCTCATCGTCGTATTTATCCGAATAGTAAATTTGTTTATGCGACATGACCGCTCCACCAGCGAATTTCCAGCCGCGAGCTCCCAACCTCCAAACAACTCCCGACAGCATGCGCTCCCACCCTCTTTGGCCTCGCTTTCAAACACACCGCCTGCACTTCCTATTGGTCCTTTTGGTCTAAGGCGGGACAACTCCAACTTTAAGCCTTTGATTGGCTTAGATTTGCTTCTCCTCGAGTTCTTATTGGCGTGCAGTTCTGACGTTTCTTAAGAACACAGCTTTGGGTCAAAATCAGACCTCTTATTGGCTGTCTCGACTCCTGGGCTCGTACTTGCGCTGTCATTGGCTGAGTGAGAAAAGTGGGCAGGGTGAAGGAGGGACCGTGAGGTAGAGGGTCAGGGGGGTTAGTGAGGCCGGAAGTGAGTGGAATAAAGTTTCTCCGGGGAGGCCCGGGCCAGGAAGAAAGTTGGAACAGCGAATGTGGCAGGCAGTGGCGTAATACGGAACAAGATTGGCCCGCGGCGCGGTGCGGAGACTCCATGAGGCCCTGGTGAGTCTTGATTTTTTTTCTTCCTTAGGTGACCCACTCCTCCACCCCGGAACCCCTCTCTCGGGACCCTACTTCCGGTCTTCATTTATAAGTCCCGCCTCTACGACCCCCCCTCCGGAAGTCCCACCTCCCTACTATAGGGGGCTCCCCGAACCCCGACTTGTCTTTTGCTGTCGCGACCACACCCTATCGCCTAGCTTTCCTGGAAGTCCCACCTCCAGACACGCTCCCAGGCCCCACTATAAGAAACCCTTCATTAGTCGGTCCAGTTCTCCAAAGCTCCTCCTCTTCACCGGGATTCTCCGCTAACTTCTGTGAAAAACCTATCTTCCCAAAGGGCTAAACCAGTCTCCAGAAAGAACGAATGACTTAGTTGAAGTTACGCCTCTCTAGGGGTTCCGCCTCCTCTGGGGACCCCGCCCCTTCCGCCATCCACGTCGGATTGTCCCAACGCGGGTCTTGGAAGTCTGAAGCGGGCTTTGTGGGGGACCACGCCCCCTGAGGAGATTTATTGCTGTGGGTCCCAGGTCATCACCCTACCCTGGTCTTCAATCCCGGAGACTCCCTCCACCTGCTGATACTTCCCTGTCCTGTCTCTATTTGGGCCTCGCGCTCAGTTTTCCTGAGCTCTTAGGCTCCACCAAATGGGAAGTCCCAAGTGCCTGTGTCTGGCTGTGAAAAAGGAGAATTTAGAGACAGCGGTTTTCTTCTCTCCTACCCTCCTAGGGTGACCAACTTGGAAGGGGGCTGAACTTGGGATCTGGGGTGGGAAAAAGACTCCCACACTCCACTGTCACAATTTTCCTTCTGGTTACCGACTCCACTCCAGAAACAGCTGCAGGTCCTACCTGACCATGCCTAGTTACTGGCAGTGGATTTGTTGATGTGTTGTCTGTATAATGGAAGCAAAAATTTTCTATCACCAGGAAATGGCTGGTTTGGAGTAGGGATTAGTGTTCTTTTTGTTGTGGTTTTTTTTTTGTTGTTGTTGTTGCTGGTTTTTTTTTTTTTAAGTCCCCCTTCTCTGGTTCTTCCCTGCCCTCCCCTCCCCCCCAGAGCTTTAGTCCGTTCATTCTGGTTGCATTTGTGGAGCTTTCCCTGCTGGACACATTCCTGAGGCTTTCACCATTTCCTGCTACTTCTTGCAGCTCTAGCCTCCTCCCTGCTGGGCTGTGTAGCAACTCGCAGCCTCTCCCCTTCCCCACCCCACCCCCATCACCTGGACTTCTAGTCCCAGATCTGCTTTCTCCTGTTGCAAGTTTAAGGCAAACATCCTTTTCCTCCCCCTCCCCAAATACCCACACCTGTTGGTCATTCCCAGCTTCAACTCCCCTACATACCATCTCTAAAGAGGAAGGTGTACTGGTGTGTTTGTGTGGTTAGGAGTGTAAGGTCATGGCAGAATTCCTCTTGAGGAGTGGAGGATTCAGTGATAAGCTCTCCTGTGACAATAAGGGACAGTGAAAGAGTTATAAACATAGGAAAAACATTTTAAGTGCTAGTATTTTAATCACTAAACTAATATATTTTTTTAAGCTGGGTACCAGTGGCTCATGCCTGTAATCCTAGCTACTCAGGAGGTTGAGATCTAAGGATCACGGTTCAAAGCCAGCCCAGGCAGGAAAGACCCGTGAGACTCTTATCTCCAATAAACCACTCAGAAAATCAGAAGTGAAGCTGTGGCTCAAGAGGTAGAGCTCTAGGCTTGAGCTGAAGAGGTGAGGGGCAGTGCCCAGGTCCAGAGTTCAAGCCCACAACTGACCAAAAACAAAACAGATTTTTTTTAATCCTTTGAAATAGACCTAAGAGTTATTCAAAGATGTACCTTTTACTTATTGTATTTCAGTCCCTTCCTAACTTCCTTAATGCTTCTTAAGCAGAACTGTGGCAGGAAACTGTGGGATGGGTTTGGATTTATTACTAATCATGTGCCACCTCACCCCAACTTTTGATACTGCATTCTCCATCTCCCCCTTTTTTTTTTTAAATCGGTCATGGGCCTTGAACTCAGGGCTTGGGCTCTGTCTCTGAGCTTTTTTGCTCAAGGCCAGTGCTCTATCACTTTGAGCCACAGTGCCATTTTTCTGGATCTTGGTGGTTAATTGTGAAAAGAGCCATCACATCCATCCCAGGGGACCACGCAGAGGCAGCAGGCACACAAAATTGGAGATAATGTGTTTCACAGATTTTCCAGCCCTGGCTGACTTTGAACCTTGACTCTGAACTCAGACTCCTGAATAGCTAGGATTACAGGCCACCAGAGGCTGGCATCTTCCCTCCTTATTGACACACAGATTTGCCTTGTGACCTCTCATCAGTTTGGGATCTGTAGTTCCCAATTCTCTTTGGGAACTGTTACATTCTCTCATATCCCCCCCTCAGCCAGACCCCTCCTCTAGTATTAGGGACACTGCTGTGAGACTTAGTGACTGGTTTTATATAAGAGGTGGGGTGTAATTGTACCTGGCAGGTTGATCTTAGACTTAGTGTTCTGACCCCCATTTTCTTATATTTACATCTTGCTTTGCTAACTGGGCCTGTGGAGAGGGGCAGAACAGTTCTGGGCCATTGCTCCTTGGCCAATAGGCATTATGCATAGGGACTTTACCAACTTGTCTTTTTTATCCAGTTCTTGCCAGGTAGCTCCCTGATATACCCCCAAGTTGGACTTTATGTTTCTTATTTCACTAGCTTTGCCTTTCCTTTGGCCATGCTCTGTATCCACGGGGACTACTTCTTTCTCTTCCTAGCTTCCTTAGCTCCAGTCCACAGCTGTTGCAGCAGAGCATTCTAATGGCCCTGGCTCCCTGGGGCTACCATCCGGCAGTATATGGTTATAATGGTGGTGATGGTGGTGGTGGTGGTGGTGGCCTGGGCAGGAGGATTGAGTGTCAAACCCTTTCAGGAAGGGAAATGCAGAGCTCTTGAATCCTCTCCATTTTCCACCCACAGCTACCTCTGTTTCCTCCCGCATTTCTCCCCAGCCTCCCTTAGCTTCCTGCTCCCTTCTGCCTGCCCTTGTCCAGATTGGATTGATCCAGGGCTCTGCTTATCTGCTTCGTTTCCTTCCTACTCCTCCATCCTTCCGTCTCTCCCTCCCTTTCCTCCACTCCAGATTTCTAGTTGTTTGTATGGGGCTGGGGAAAGGGGCCTAAGCTAGCTCTACTGCTGCCGGAATTCTAGGTTGGGGTGGTCAGTGGGGGGCCCAGCCCCTCTGAGCCTGTGAGTCAGCACTGTCCTTGGGATTGGTCTCTTTCTTTCATTACCCGCCCCTTGGGAGGAGCCAGGCAGCTCTGGGTCCAGCCTGTTCTCTTCTCAGTCGGGAGAGGAGGCTGCAAGCTGGGTTGGGCTGGGAATGAGGCCTGAAACTGACTGGATCTGATCTGGGGGTGTGGAAGCTACTTGTTTTCCGCCCTCCCAGGGACCTCCGTGACCCTCAAGCTGCAGGGGTCAGGCCAAGCTAAGGGCCTGGGGATGCCCCCTGCCTGGCCCCCTTGCCTAAATTGGCAGGGGGGCCAGGCTGGGCTGCAGCCCCCTTTTCATCTCAGCCATGGATCTCCTTCCCCCCAAGCCCAAGTACAACCCACTTCGGAATGAGTCTCTGTCATCGCTGGAGGAGGGGGCCTCAGGGTCCACTCCCCTGGAGGAGCTGCCTTCCCCATCAGCCTCATCCTTGGGGCCCATCCTGCCTTCTCTGCCTGGGGATGATAGTCCCACTACCCTGTGCTCCTTCTTCCCCCGGATGAGCAACTTGAAGCTGTCCAATCCTGCTGGGGGACGCCTGGGGCCTAAGGGGGAGCCAGGAAGGGCTGCCCAGGATGGGGAAGGGGCAGCCATGCTGGACTCAGGTCCCCTGCCCCTCCTCCAGGACATGAACAAGCTGAGTGGAGGCGGCGGGCGCAGGACTCGGGTAGAAGGGGGCCAGCTGGGGGGCGAGGAGTGGACCCGACACGGGAGCTTTGTCAATAAGCCCACGCGGGGCTGGCTGCATCCCAACGACAAAGTCATGGGACCTGGGGTTTCCTACTTGGTTCGGGTGAGTGAACATCTTCCCTTCCACTCCCTCCAAGATCCTCCCTCTAGTGCCTTTGCTACCTCCAGCTTTGCTAGGACCTTCTCTTCCTGCTGTTCCCTAGTGTTCCTATGTGTCATTGTCCTAGTTCATAAACCTGCCTTGTCCCCTTCTCCAGTTCCTAACCCAGCCTGGGATAATTTGTCTAGGCCCCTTCCTGTTTTAGGGACCCTCCCTGCCCTCCTCCTCCCCACCCCCCCAGTTTAGCACAATGCTTAGCACATCAAAGTCTGTAAACATTGCAGAGTGGCTTTTCCATTCTCCCCTCCAGACTCCTCCCCTTTTCCAGAGTTGTCACTTTGTCCCACCCAGTGCCTTTCAGATTCTCTCACCAGCAGAGCCGGAGGTCCTCTAGCTGTCCCTTTTCACATCCTGTTGTCTTTCACTTGTGGGATTAGCCCCAGGCTGTGGGAAGAGTACTGTACTTCCTTTAGGGCCCACAGAGGGCAAAGACCTGTGGCCCTTTGTGAATGGTTGGGGGGAGGTAGCTGACTTGTTCTCCCTTCTCTCCCCTCAGTACATGGGCTGTGTGGAGGTCCTTCAGTCAATGCGTGCCTTGGACTTCAATACCCGGACTCAGGTCACAAGGTTGGTAGGGAGGGGTTATGGATTGTGGATATTAGGCTGGGGGAAGGTGAAGAAAAGTGGGGGCACTTTGTGATGGTGCTAGTGGTGCCTTTTCTTTGGGAGGTAAGGAGGATTAAGAGAAAGTTAGGAGAGTCTTTGAAAAGAGGCACCTCTGGCCTAGAGCCTCCTTACCTATCCAGCCTTAGGGGTTAAGAGGAAAGTATCAGAAGCAGCTGGTGGATGAAGCTGGACCAGAAAATCAGGAGTAGATAGAAGGTTATTGCTGCTTTTGGGAAGAGAACAGGACATTTACTTAGTAGCTAGGAAGAGGTGGGGTTATACCCATTGAGGCCTTAACCCAATCAGCCAGGAAGCGGGCTCTCAATGTCATCAAATATTAAAGGCCCTTAATTCAATCCACCACGACAAAGAGCCTGGAGTGCCCTGGGAGTCTGGCCTGGCCTTCCCTTCCCCCAGCTCTGTGGCAACCCCAGCTGAGTAGGAGGCTAGCTGTGAGTCTAGTACCCCTTTTTCCCTAGGGAGGCCATCACTCTGGTGTGTGAGGCTGTGCCCGGTGCTAAAGGGGCAACAAGGAGGAGAAAGGTATGTTCTTGATGGGATGATGGGGGATGAAAGGGCTGGAGATGGAGGGGTCGGGGGATTGCAAGTGCGGGGCATGTGGGGAAGTTAAGAGGTGGAAGTATGCTTTCCTGGTATTAGATGTCCTCAGCTTCTGAGTCTCTGGACCCTTCCATAGCCTGGTAGCCGTCCACTCAGCTCTATCCTGGGGAGGAGTAACCTGAAGTTTGCTGGAATGCCAATCACGCTTACTGTCTCCACCAGTAGCCTCAACCTCATGGCTGCAGACTGTAAACAGGTTGGTAGGGGTTTTCAAGGGGGCCAGAAACTGATGGGGGAGATCCTGTGATAAGGCCAAAAGCTGGGAGAGAGTAGGAAGACACAGGGTCAGAAGCTAAGAGAATGAGTCTGAGACTCGGTTCTGGGGTAGGAGTAGAAGGTACCCATGTGGACACTTATATTCCCTTCCTTCTCCATCTCCTGCCCTAATCCTCAGATCATTGCCAACCATCACATGCAATCTATCTCATTTGCGTCCGGCGGGGACCCGGTGAGTTGGATAAGAGTAAAGGGCCCGGGGGGTAGGGGGGTAGGGGGTAAATAAGGGGCTAGAATTGGGAAAATACTACAGAAGTGGGGTTGCTAGGATTGAGGACTCTGAAAAGGATTGGTTGTAAGGGTTAGCAGTAAGGTGGAGCTATAAAATTGAGCTAACTGGCTTCTTCTGCTCTTTCCATCCCAGGACACAGCCGAATATGTTGCCTATGTTGCCAAAGACCCTGTGAATCAGAGAGGTGAGGTGTAGTGGGGAGCACTGGGTGAGTCTGTGCTTGGGTCGGCTTTCCCTGTTGTTAATGAGTGCAGTTGTAGGGGCTCCTGCTGAGGAGATTGAGGGCTCCTGACCAAATCTCCCAGCAATATTACCTCCAAGTTCACTAACAGCTTCCATCTGCTGTGTCCCCAGCCTGTCATATCCTGGAATGTCCTGAAGGGCTTGCCCAGGATGTCATCAGCACCATTGGTCAGGCCTTTGAGTTACGTTTCAAACAATACCTCAGGAACCCACCCAAGCTGGTCACCCCCCATGACAGGTAAGAGAACGGGAAAGATATGGGGCAGCTCTTAGACCCCAGACTGGGATTGCAAAGTAGGCTTAGCTTCAAGTGGCTCAGGGAAGGAAATAACCGCGTGCCCTGCTTCCTACTTCCTACTATTCTTACATTTCCTGTGGTGCATCAGGAAAGCCTTTTGAGGCCAAGGCCAGCTCTTGCTCTTGTTGCCTGTGGTAGAGCTGTTGGCATATCTTTCTCTGGCTGGATGAGTTTTACTTACTAGCCTCCATATATCAGGTCTGTCTCTGATTCTTGCTTACTTTTCCATCCTTTATTCTGTGTTTTCTTGTCTGTAGAAGCTATCAAGAATTTGGGCCAGGTGCCAGTGGCTCATTTCTGTAATCCTATGACTCAGGAGGCTGAGATCTGAGGATCACGGTTCAAAGCCAGCCCGGGCAGGAAAGTCTGTGAGATGCTTACCTCCAGTTTAACTACCAGAAAACTGGAAGTGGCACTGTGGCTCATGTGTGCTAGCCTTGAGCTGAAGAGCTGAGGGACAGTGCCCACACCGAGTTCAAGCCCCATGACTGACCAAAAAAGAAACAAAATAAAACTCAGATAATACTCAGGCCTTGAGTTCAAGCCCCACCACAAGCATAATTTTTTTTTTTATTATTGGAAACATAACTCCTTTGGGATATGCAATGGGACTATGAGGGACTTTGTATTTCCCAGAGGAAGTGTTGGGGCAAGCTTTCCATTCTACATAGTATTTCCCATTCCTCTTGGGAGATAGCATGGCTATCAGTTTTATAGTACTACCTCCTTTTAGTTGTGATGAGACTTGTCAAATCTTTTTACTATTGACTCTTGTCTCTCCTGGCCTTCTGGTCACCACAAATTTGTGTCCACTTTTTCATATGGTCTTTCACAGGATGGCTGGGTTTGATGGTTCAGCATGGGATGAAGAGGAAGAAGAGCCACCTGATCATCAGTACTATAATGACTTCCCAGGGAAGGAACCCCCTCTTGGGGGGATAGTGGATATGAGGCTTCGGGAAGGGGCTACTACAGTGGCTGCCCGACCCACTCTACCTGGAGCCCAGACTCCCAGCCAGCTGGGAGCTACACTGGTAAGTTATTTGGATGGTGGTGCCTGGGCCTAAGATCGGAGTGGCTGACTATGGCATCTGGTCTCATTTGATTGTTATCCCTGTAGCCTGTAGGTCAGCCTTGTGTGGGAGACCCTGAAGTCCGCAAACAGATGCTGCCTCCGCCACCTTGCCCAGGTACAAAGGAGGAGCTGAGACAGGCAGAGCCAGGGGCACAAAAGGAGGGAAGAGTTACTATATGGTCTCCCTCTCCTCAGCAGGCAGAGAGCTCTTTGATGATCCCTCCTATGTCAACGTCCAGAACCTAGACAAGGCTCGGCAGGCAGCAGGGGCAACTGGGCCCCCCAATCCTGCCATTAATGGCAGTGCACCCCGGGACCTCTTTGACATGAGTGAGTGTTCCTCTGTGTTGGTGTGTGTGCATGTGTGTGTGGGGGGTGTATATCCCTATTTTCCTATTTGGTTCCTTTTCTCCTGTATATCTGCTTTCTGTCTTGGTTTCCCTTGTTGAGGGTCTGGGTTTTAGCCCTTGTTCTATATCCCCAGAACCCTTTGAAGATGCCCTCCGGGTGCCTCCACCGCCCCAGTCCATGTCCATGGCTGAGCAGCTTAGAGGGGAACCCTGGTTCCATGGGAAGCTGAGCCGGCGGGAGGCCGAAGCACTGCTACAGCTCAATGGGGACTTCCTGGTACGAGAGAGCACCACTACTCCTGGCCAGTATGTGCTCACCGGCCTGCAGAGTGGACAGCCCAAGCACCTGCTTCTGGTAGACCCTGAGGGTGTGGTAAGTGACTAAAGTATGGGTAGAGGGGCAGAAAGCTAGGAACAGAACCCCCTTATGACGCTCCCTTCCCTCATTGCTTTATAAACTTTTCCTTGCTGGCAGCTCTCTGTAGGCCTCTGCTTTTAGGTATGTGAAGAGTCTAAAGGTTATTTTCTCTCATATCTTTTGAGTCTGAGCTGTGTTTTTTATAAGAAGTGTTAGTGTCCCACACCTTAAACCCATCAGATTTAGAAGGTGCTCACCCCATCTGTGCCCCTCTAGACAAGTGAGGAAACCACTACGGAGAGGCTGTGATGCCCAGTGTCTGTTGGTCAGAGGTTGGATACTCTCAAGTTTCATCTTGTAAGAGCTGGAGCCACCTCAGTTCCCCAGATGTGGGCTCAGCATCTTTTCCTCACTGTCCTTGTTTGTTTGTTCCTTTTTTTGTATCTTTGGCATTACTTTGTTTTATTTTTTGGTGCTAGTCCTGGGGCTTGAATTCAGGTCCCTGAGCTTTTGTCTCAAGCCTAGCTCTCTACCACTTGAGCCACAGCTCCACTTCAGGCTTTTCTTTTGGGTGATTAGTTGGAGTCTCACTTTCCTTCCCTGGCTGTCTTCAAATTTCAGTCCTTAGATCTCACGCCTCCTCAGTAGCTAGGATTATAGGTTTGAACCACTGATTCCTAGTTGGTTGTTTCTTTTTTGTGTGAAAAGTACCAGGACTTGAACTCAGGGCTTTGCACTCTTGCTTGGCTTTTTTACTCACTGTTGGCTATCTACTGTGTAAGCCATGTCTTCAGTCTGTTTGGTTTTTTTTGTCAGTTGTGGGGCTTGAACTCAGGTCCTGGGTGCTGTTGCTGTCCCTGAGCTTTTTACTTATTTATTTATTTATTATTATTTTGCCACTCGTGGGGCTTGAACTCTGGCCCTGGGCGTTGTCCCTCAACTCTTCAGCCCAAGGCAAGCACTCTACCACTTGAGCCACAGCACCACTTCTGGTTTTCTGGTGGTTTATTGGAGATAAGAGTCTCACGGACTTTTCCTGCCTGGGCTTGCTTTGAACTGTGATCCCTCAGATCTCAGCCTTCTGAGTAGCTAGAATTACAGGCGTGAGCCACTGGCCCCTGGCTTCTCTGAGCTTTTTCGTTCAAGGCTAACGCTGTATCACTTTGAGCCACAGCACCACTCCCCTCCAGTCTGGCTGGTTTTGTTTTGTTTTGTTTTTTTGGTCGGTCGTGGGGCTTGAACTCTGGGCTTGGGAGCTGTCTCTGCTCTTCAGCTCAAGGCGAGCGCTCTGCTGCTTGAGCCATAGCACCACTTCTGGTTTTCTAGTGGTTTATTGGAGATAAGAGTCTCATGGACTTTCCTTGCCCGGGCTGACTTTGAACCTCAATCCTCGGATCTCAGCCTCCTGAGTAGCTAGGATTACAGGCGTGAGCCACCGTTGCCCGGCCAGTCTGGTTGTTTTTAAAAAATATTTAAAAATTGTTATTATAGAGGGGATGTATAGAGGGGTTATAATTACATTAGTTAGGTAATGAGTACATTTCTTTTTGGACACTGTCCTGAGTAGCTAGCTAGGATCATGGGCGTGAGCCACTGATGTCCACACTACCTTGGTTTCTTTTCTACAACAATCTCAACCTCCCTCTTATACTTTTTTTTTTTTTTTGCCAGCCCTGAGGCTTGAACTCAGGGCCAGGGCACCATCCTTGAGCTTCTTTTGCTCAAAGCTAGCACTCTATCACTTGAGCCACAGCCCACTTCTGGCTTTTTCTGTTTATGTGGTACTGTGGAATTGAACCCAGGGCTTCATGCATTGTAGACAAGCTGGGAAGGTGGCTCAGTGGTAGAGCACTTGCCTTGCATGCCTGAGGCCCTGGGTTCGATTCCTCAGCACCACATAAGCAAAAAGAAAAAAGCCGGATGTGGCGCTGTGGCTCAAGTGGTAGAATGCTAGCCTTGAGCTGAAGAGCTGAGGGACAGCGCCCAGGGCCAGAGTCAGGCCCCACAACCGGACCCAAAAAAAAAAAACAACAAAAAACATGCACTGTAGACAAGCACTCTACCACTAAGCCACATTCCCAGCCCCTATTCTCAGGACCTACCTCACTTGGGATGTTTTATGGGCTGGGCCTTGAGTTGAAGAAGGGAATAGTATTGATACTGAGTCAGGAGCCTGGGGTAGAATCCTGTTTTTCCCCAAAACCTCGCCGAAGAATTAATGTACAGAGTGGCCTCCTTGTCTAGGCCTTTCTTCTGCCAACTTTTTTTTTTTAACTGTATCCTCTTTTGAGCTATGTCAACTTCCTTCAAATCAGGAAGTATTCCACTTTCCCTCAGCTTCATGTTTCTGGGCTGTTGATCCTTCACTGAGCTGCCCATTCCCACAGCTGTGAATAGCTTCTCTTTGTAGAGAAGCCTAGATGATCAAGGCTGACATCCCTTCCCTCTATTTCTCCTTTAAGCCTTCTTGACTGTTCTATCTTCGTCGTCCTTGATGGCAGAGGTCTTATTGGACTGGTCCCACCTAAATTGACTCTCTCTTCTCGTCTTTCTAGGTTCGGACAAAGGATCACCGCTTTGAGAGTGTCAGTCACCTCATCAGTTACCACATGGACAATCACTTGCCCATCATCTCTGCGGGCAGCGAACTGTGTCTACAGCAACCTGTGGAGCGGAAGCTGTGATCTTTCCCAGCCTGTCTCCCAGGAGATGCCCTCCAGCCTCTTTTCCCCTATTCCTTAACTCTCAGGACTTCACTTGGGATGTTTTAAGGGCTGGGCCTTGAGTAGGAGGAGGGAGTAGTCTGGATACTGAGTCAGGAGCCTGGGGAAGAATCCTGTTTCTCCCCAAACCTCACCAAAGTATTAATGTACAGAGTGGCCTCCTTGTCTAGGCCTTTCCTGTGCCAACCTGACACTCCATTTCCAAAGAAGGCTGGTGCTTCTAATGGAAATGTCCTGTGGTGATAGGCCCAGTGAAGCAATTGCCCTTCTGGGGAAGGGGAATGAATCACACCTCTGGTCTACCCCTGGACTTCAGAATACCCCTGGCCCCTCTGAACACTCCCCCTTCTATGTTAAAACTTTGTGCCTTTGACCATCTCTTAGGTCTGCAGATACTTTATGCAAAGAGTTCTCAGGCCCCTGAATTCAAAAACAGGGGTTCTGACACTTTGGCTTCTTGGACCCTGTCCTCTCCTTGCTCAGTACCCCTTTGGGTTTGGGTTGGGAGAACTAAGGCAGGAGTGGCAGCTGTCTCTGCCTTGGGCATATGCAACTCTTAAGAGATTGCCCCAGAGCCCCCCTCCCAGCTGGGGTTAGTTGGACCACTCCATTGCTCAGTGCCTCCTGGGCTGGGGAACCCCCTTCACCCAAGGGGTCTGTATATACATTTTGTAAGCCTACCCCCTCCCATGTTGCATGCCTGTTATACTCTACAGCCCTACCTCCTGTAGCCCTCACTGTCTCTGGGGTGGTAAATGAATGAATTTGGGCCTTTTCTACCCTTAACTCCAAGGTGAGTTTTGTGGAGGCCAGCACAGGGGCATAGAGACTAAAGCAGTAGACAATCTGAATACTATCTGTAGAATGGGAACAGCATTCGTTTCATTTCATATGCCTATGTGTTAGGGCTGTAGATATACTTTTATTTTCCATGGCTTATTTTTGAGCACAAAATGATAATAGATTACATTTATACACCTGACTTTTTGGAGCCCCTTTTACAATGATTGTCATTTTTCTCACCCTAGCCTGAACTGGCAGCATTATGGTTTTATTTTAGAAGAGAAACCTGGGACAAATCAGTTTCACCCTAGGACTAGGAAGAAAACTTGGGCCTCTTATGGCTAGGCTGGGAAGCAGAGTGATAGTATTGTTGCTGTCATGTGGGGTCCCTTCTACATTGGGTCTGTGTGTGTGGCCCATAGAAGCTGGCCAGACAGAGAAGCTGGTCTGGCTCGGTCTGGAGGCTTAGGGATAAGGGAGGGTCGAATGTTTCAATCATGGCCATCCTTTTTTGAATGTTTTCACGGTCTCACTTATACCAAAGGGAAATAGCCTTCATTAAAGTCCTATTTCTTCTACCGGGTCTTCTCAAAGTCTATTGTTTGCACCGGGGGCCGTGTGCGGTGGGAGGTGGCGGCCAGCTCCACCTGGCTTCGTTGCTGGGGCACGCCCCGTGCCCGCCCCGGGGGAACCCAGGGATGGCAGTTTGTGCCCGGCTAGGGCGTGGCCAGGCTGGACGCTGGCTCTCCTGCCCCTGGGGGGGTGTCCTGGGAGGAGGAGGAGGCTGGCTCGGGCGGGCGGGATAGGGGCGGGCAGTCGCTTTGGCAGTCCCACGGCCAGGACCTCCCGGACCGGCCCCCCGCCGGGTGGTACGGCCTGCAGTAGGGGTGGACGGGTGGGCTCCGCGTCCATCCCGCGGACGGGCCCTGGCAGGCTCCCCCCACCTCCAGCGGGAAGCCTCACTCCACCGGGGCCGTGAGGGGTGCGGTATGCCGCTGCCGGGCTCCCCACCTAGGGTCGGTTCCCGGATCCCCTCCCCGCCGCGCCCGGTGGTGGTGGCCGAGTCCAGTTCCGGTTCCGGTTGCTGTGGCTCGGGGCGGGTGGCTGGCCCTGCGAGCGCGCACTTCGCGCTCTGGCTGGGCGCCACCCCTTCGCCGCGCCGACCGCTCTCCGCAGCGCGGGGGCCATGCTGCCCCTGACTCCCCTTCCGGGCGATGGTGCGGTCTGAGGACGCCTCCATCCCCCGCCACCGCCGCTGACTCCGGTCCCCCACTCCATGGCCGCCTCGGCGCCGCCCCCACCGGACAAGCTGGAGGGAGGTGGCGGCCCCGCACCGCCCCCTGCGCCGCCCAGCACCGGGAGGAAGCAGGGCAAGGCCGGTGAGCGCGCCCACAGAGGCCGGGGCAGGGGAGACCCAGGATTTGGGAGTCTTGGAGGGGAGAGCTGATAAATGGCGGGCGGTCTGTGGGACCCGGGGCGGGGGGGAGGCTCCGGTGGAACAGATAAGTGGGTGTAGCTCTGAAGAGATTGGGGCCGGTGTCACATAGCCACCGCAGGGTTTGGAGCCTTGTTGAAAGTAGGAGGTACTTCAAGTTAGATGATATCAAGAAGTGGGGTATCTGTGATTTCAAGGAATACTTAACTGAGTCCGGTTTTCATGTGATTTGAATTAGCATTTGTTAAATAGCCAAACAAGCACATAATGAAGTTAGAGTACTTTCGGGGAGAGTGGGAGAAAAGGACGTGGTAGAAACCTCAGGAAAACTTGCCTGTGTCTGCCTTTTGCTGCTCTTTCAGGTCTGCAAATGAAGAGCCCAGAAAAGAAGCGAAGGAAGTCAAATACTCAGGTGAATGGCCGTGGTTGGTGGGAGTCACTCTTAGCAGGCCCTAAATGCACTGGCTACTGATGTCCAGTTGTCATTCAGTGTCTTCCATCAGGCACAGAGGAAAGAGATAGCTGTCTTGTTCTATGTCTGGTTATTTCTGTCAACCTTATAATGAATGTGGGGGAAAATATTTTCCTCCAAGAGATAGTTTAAGCAAAAGTATTATTGGTGAGGATTATGATCTTCCTTTCATTTTTCCTGTCCTGATGACATAATGATGATGAACTTAAGGAACTTTTTTTTTTTTTTGTCAGACCTGGGGCTTGGACTCAGGGCCTGAGCACTATCCCTGAGCTGCTGCTGCTTCTCTTTTTGCTTGAGGGGAGCACTCTACCACTTGAGCCACAGCAGGACTTCTGCCTTTTTCTGTTTATGTGGTTCTGAGGAATTGAACCCAGAGCTTCAAGCATGTTAGGTAGGCAAGCACTCTACCACTAAGCCACATTCCCAGCCCTTAAGGATCTTTTTTTAAGTGTCAGGTGTCCTTTCATAGTTACTCTGCTTTTCAGAGAAAAGTCTGGTTTAAGAAAGTTATTATTGGGCTGGGAAGGTGGCTCAGTGGTACAGCGCTTGCCTTGCATGCATGAGGCCCTGGGTTCGATTCCTCAGCACCACATAAGCAAAAAGAAAAAAAGCCGGAAGTGGCCGTGTGGCTCAAGTGGTAGAGCGCTAGCCTTGAGCTGAAGAGCTCAGGGACAGTGCCCAAGCCCAGAGTTCAGGTCCCACGACCTGACCAAAAAAAAAAAAAAAAGTTATTATTGTGGCTGGGAAGGTGGCTCAGTGGTAGAACGCTTGCCTTGCATGCTCGAGGCCCTGGGTTCGACTCCTCAGCACCACATAAAAAGAAAAAAGCCGGAAGTGGTGCTGTGGCTCAAGTGGTAGAGCACTAGCCTTGAGCTGAAGAGCTGAGGGACAGCGCCCAGGCCCAGAGTTCAGGCCCCACTACCAGACACCCCCCCAAAAAAAGTTATTATTTATTTTTGTCAGTTGTGGGGCTTGAATTCAGGGCCTGGGCACTGTCCCTGAGTCTCTGTGTGCAGGGCTAGCGCTCTACAACTTGAACCATAGCATCACTTCTGGTTTTCTGTGGGGGAAGGGAAGGTAGTTAATTGGAGATAGTCTCATGAACTTTACTGTCCAGTCTAGCTTCGAACCTTGATCCACAGATCTCAGCCTCCTGAGTAACTAGTATTACAGGCATGAGCTACAAGCATCCCACTTGTTTTAAAAAAGTTATATACCTCATTTAGGGTCAGCTAGGATTTCAGCATAGTCCTGCCTGTTTTTCAAAACATATCCCTATGCTCAGCTTTTCTTTGCATTTTTAAGGTCCAACTTGAGTTTAGATCTGAGCCTTCATGGTGTGTATTGTGTTTGCCTCCATGGCTTGTATTGTGTTTAGTGTTTCCCTCCTTGACCCTCTTCTTCCTCTCTTTCTCACTAGGGCCCTGCATATTCACATCTGACAGAGTTTGCACCACCACCAACTCCCATGGTGGATCACCTGGTTGCATCCAACCCTTTTGAGGATGACTTCGGAGCCCCTAAGGTGGGGGGTGCAGCCCCTCCGTTCCTTGGCAGTCCTGTGCCCTTTGGAGGCTTTCGTGTACAGGGGGGCATGGCTGGCCAGGTACCCCCAGGCTATGGCACTGGGGGCGGAGGGGGTCCTCAGCCACTTCGTCGACAGCCTCCGCCTTTCCCTCCCAATCCTATGGGGCCAGCTTTCAACATGCCTCCACAGGGCCCTGGCTACCCACCACCAGGCAATATGAACTTTCCCAATCAACCCTTCAACCAGCCACTGGGTCAAAACTTTAGTCCTCCTGGTGGGCAGATGATGCCAGGTCCAGTGGGAGGATTCGGTCCCATGATCTCACCCACTATGGGACAGCCTCCTAGGGGAGAGCTGGGTCCTCCTTCCCTCCCCCAACGCTTTGCCCAACCAGGGGCACCTTTTGGCCCTTCTCCTCTCCAGAGACCCGGTCAAGGGCTTCCCAGCCTGCCTCCCAACACAAGTCCTTTCCCTGGTCCAGACCCTGGCTTTCCTGGCCCAGGTAGTGAGGATGGAGGGAAGCCCCTGAACCCACCCGCTCCTACTGCTTTCCCCCAAGAGCCCCACTCAGGCTCCCCTGCTGCCGCTGTTAATGGGAATCAGCCCAGTTTTCCACCAAATAGCAGTGGACGTGGTGGGGGCACTCCAGATGCCAACAGCCTGGCACCTTCTGGCAAGGCAGGTGGAGGCTCAGGGCCCCAGCCTCCTCCAGGCCTGGTGTACCCATGTGGTGCCTGTCGAAGTGAGGTGAATGATGACCAGGATGCCATTCTGTGTGAGGCCTCCTGCCAGAAGTGGTTCCACCGTGAATGCACAGGCATGACTGAGAACGCCTATGGGCTGCTGACCACTGAGGCCTCTGCCGTCTGGGCCTGTGATCTCTGCCTGAAGACCAAGGAGATCCAGTCTGTCTACATCCGAGAGAGCATGGGACAGCTGGTGGCTGCTAACGATGGGTGACTGACAGGGTGGTCTGGCAAAGTGTATATTTCCTCCCTGTTCTTCCAGAGTGATTGTCTAGCTCTTGGTTCTTGTTTCCACTGGCTTTCTATCCCCATGGAGCAGAAACACTGGTTCCTAGGAGCCTAAAAGAAATGGATGTGGGCAGGCAGAAGAGCCTGTATTTGTTACTTTTCTTGGAACTTATGCCTTGAGATCTACAGAGATCCAGGAAACCAAAGCCCTGCCGAGCAGAGCCATTTTTTTTGTGTGTTGCCCTCTAGCGGCCTGGGGGTGAAAAGTGGATGAAGGAAGTTCTGGAGAGCCCCTACTACCCGTGCCTAACACCCCTATCTAGACCCACAGCTCCAACGTTAGTTTTTAGAGTCAAGTATTAAGGTTTCTGGCTCTAAAAAGAAATGGGGTTCTTCATAGCCCTTTCATGGGCTTTGACAGTTTTAGGGACTATATGGGGATGTCTCCCCTTTTCTCTCCTTCCCTAGGCTTATCTAACTCCTCCCCATTCAGAGCACCAAATAGCTTGAAGAAGCAGGAGAGTGCCTGGCTATTGCAGTTTCTTGGTGATTTGGGGGCTTCAAGATAATAGGTAAGGTTGGGATGCTGTTAGGACAAATCTTCCTCATACCAAAGTCACTGGTCCTTTCTCAACTTTTCTTGTGCTTTTCTCTTAATGATCATATATATATATATATTTTGCCAAAAATTGGATATGTGGTTTTACAGACCAGAATATTTGAAGTTTGGGCCAACTTGATACTCTAGATTTTGGTGGTAACCCGCACCCCCTCTCTGTTGCACATTATACTCCGTGCTGTTCTTCAGCTTTTGGTGCCCTTATTTCTCTGCCTCTCTGGCTTGATTGAACTAAAGCTTAGAAAGGCACAGAGCCTTTATACCTCATTTCCTTCCATATGAAAGGATCCAATTGAGGGCCTGACCCAGCCTTGGAGGCAGTAGGAGGCAGTGAGATCCTCATTGCCATGGCAACTAAAAGGTAGAAGAACCTGGAGGCTTTTTTTTTTTTTTTTTAACTTCTATTCCTTTGCTATCCTTTGGTATCCTCTTGGGCCTGATGATCTAGCAATTCTTATTCCTCAGCCAAAGTCCTGCTCTAGATTCCCCTCACCTCTTCCATTCTCCTTCCCTTCTCTTTTGCAGTTCTGAGGGGTTGAGCCCAGGG